CATAGATCCTCTTTTGGGTTGGTTTTTGGCCATTTTTAGCCTTTTGCTTGGTCTTAGTGAGCTAGGGTCGTTTTAGGGACTCAAACTTGTAGATCTGGACATTCTAAGGTCCTCTCTCTCTCTCATAAAGGTGCAAGCTTTGTGAAGTGTTTGAGTCCAAGCATGAATTAAGACCATCCATTAAGTTCTTTTGAGCTCTAGAGTCCCATTAAGTCATGCATGTTAGTAAAGTTGCCAACTTTACTTGAATAGTCACCTTTAGAAGTCAGACTGGAGAGTTGGAGCAAGGGCTGAAGTGATTGAGTGCTTATTTGGAGAGAGTTAGACATCAGAGGAGTACGTTGGGCGTATCCACTTCGTACGCGGCGCGTACTAGCCCCAACAGGTGTACGCTTAGCGTACCAGATGAGTACGCAGGGCGTACTCGGTCTGGTTGCCTCACTTTGTTTTGTTAACCTTTTGGACCTTGGAACATGGACCAGGAGTTAGTTGGGGTAGCCCATTTGATATTTCAGGCCTTTTGTATATTGGGCCTTCTTGGGTAGGTCCATGATGGATTTGGGCCTTATTAGGCCTTGTGGGTCATTTCGGATTCAGGCTTTCTTATGGGCTTGTAAGTACATGGACTTCGTTGGGCTAGCTATGGACATGTATAATGATTCAGAAAAAGTAAATGGGCTTTAGAGAAAGGCCCATGTAAGGGTTTGGGCCCAAATTGGAAAATTGGGCCATTAGTGGGCCTTTATGGATTTTGGAGTTTTAGACTTGATTGGTTTTGGACTTGGGCCTTAGTTAAGTATCTTGTGGGCCAGGGGTAAAATGGTCATTTTACCCCAAGTATGGATTATGGATTATGGTATAGAACCCAATTACTAATTGGATGATATTTTGGTATTGATAGCTCGAGGAGTTGCTAGGACAACAGCTAAGGATTTCTTGTAGTGGAGTTCAGCAGCATGAGGTGAGTTACCTTCCAGTAGAAGTGGGTCTAAGGCACCAATGTCGGCCCACTAGTAGGTGCTTATAGTATGGATGATTGTCTTTGTGATAATTGTCTGGTATGCCACTACCTGTTATGTTTTATGTGCTAGTATGCTATGATATTATGTGATAGTGGTAGGAGGGGTGAAATAGTCCCCGATTACCGGTTGAAAAAGACCGAAGGGGTAGACAGTACCCAGGTATGCCTAGCAGTATGTTTATGATATGTTATTATGTGGTAGTGCTAGGGGTGAAATAGTCCCCATAACCGGTAGAGATAAACCGGAGGGTAGGTCGGGCACCCAGATATGCCTCACAGGGGTAGGTCGGACACCCCGGTATGTCTGACAGGGGTAGATTGGGCACCCCGGTATGCCTAACATGGGTAGGTTGAGCACCCAGGTATGCTCAGCAGGGTAGGTCGGGCACCCAGATATGCCTGACAGTATATGTTTATGTGGTATGATGGGGGAACTCACTAAGCTTTGTGCTTACAGTTTACAGTTTTGGTTTCAGGTACTTCTTTTTCAAAAGGAACGGAGCCGACAGGATCGCAGCGCATCAAACTATGATTTCCGCATTATGAGATCTTTGGGAATCGTACTCTGATAATACTTTTCTATAACATGTTTTAGTTATTTGAAATACTGGCTTTTGATTATGAAATGAGTTAACATTATGGTTGTTTCAGACTACTGGTTACATACTTAATTAAAAATGAAACTTTTGGTCTTGAATTTTGGGATGTTACAGTTGCTCATGGATTTTTTAGAGATATTTCTTTGTGGGTGAACGAGTTGGTGTTATCCTATCTTTTTTATGTGGATGATGCTCTTTTTCTAAGAGAGTGGGAGAAACAGAATGTTCAAAATATCATTTTGTATTCTTCGATGTTTTTATTTGGTGACTAGTTCAAGGATTAATCTCCTTAAGTCAAACTTATTTACTATTGGATTGGATGCTTTTGAGGTCCGGTCTTTGGCTACTTTCATTGGGTGTAGTGTTGGTTCTATTCCGTTTATGTATTTGGGTCTTCCCTTGGGTGAGAGTGTGAATCAAGTTAAAGTTTGGAAGAGTGTTATGGATCGTTTCAAGAAACGTCTCTTCTTGGAAAGTCAAAACGTTGTCTATTGGTGGTTGGTTAACTCTTCTTAAATCGATTCTAGGTAGTCTTGGGATTTATTTCATGTCTTTGTTTAGAGTTTCGAGAAATGTTGTTCATGATTTGAAAGCTTCTAGGTCTCGGTTTTTTTGGTGCCGAATTGCAGGAGAACCGGTTGATTTGGGTTAAGTGGTTTGAATGGTAAACAAAAATAGTGGCTTGTTATTGATAGTCTTGACGCTTTTAACTTGGCTCTCTTATACAAATGGAGATGGTGGTTCTGTAATGAGCCTAATTCCTTGTTTGTTAGACTCATTAAATCTCTTTATGGAAGGGCTTGTGGTTTTTTGGGTGGTTCAAGTTTTTATGTGGGTAAAAGAATCTTGTCTCATATATTTGGTTCTATAAACCAGTTTCATGATAGTTTCATTATTCCTAGGTCGGATATGGTACGTGTTGGGTAATGGTGATGATAATATGTTCTAGACTATAATTTGGTGTGGTAACTTTTTGCTTATAGTTTAATTTTGAGGCTCTTTGCTTTTTGAATTCCCAAGAGGTTGTAGTTAGAGATTTTTGGTCTTCTGTTAGGTGGAGATTTCATTGGTGTTGTCTTATAAAAGGTGGTGATGAGTCATTGCAACTATCAGAGTTGATGACTTTGTTGGATTAGGTTCATCTCTCCTCTAAGTTGGATCATTATGGTTGGGAGTTGGACCCTTCTAAAGTTTTTTCAGTGAGCTCGACTAGGTGGTTTTTGGATGAGAGTCGTCTTGCTACCGGTGCTTCTCCTACACGTTGGAATTAGTATGTTCCTATTAAGGTTAATGTTCTTATTTGGTGTGTTTTACTGAATTGTATCCCTATGAGGTACAATTTGGTGGTGGATGGAGGGTGGATATGGACTCAATTTTGTGTCCTTTTTGTGGGAGTATTCCAGAAGTTGTCAATCACTTATTTTTCCAGTGTTCGGTGGCCTTATAGTTTGGAGGAGGGTAGCGGGTTAGCTTGATTTGGTGGTTCCTCTGTTTTTCAATGGGTTGATAATGGGACTACTTCTAACATGGAACGTGTGATTATTGATTTGATTTATAGGACGGTCATTTGGGTTCTTTGGACCTTTCGGAACGCGCTCATTTTTCGTCAGAGAAGTTACCAGAAGGAGTTCATTTTTGATAACATTGTTTCTTTTTCTTTCAACTGTTTTCGGTTAGGAACGCTAAGGCTTCTAAGAATTTGAATGTTTGTATGCTTAATCCAATTTTGCCTTAATTTGTATTGTTTTTTGCTAGCCTCTAGCTAGCTTGTTTTAATGACAATGTTGTTCTAAGAAACACGTTGGGTGAAAATATTGCATTATGATCACGAACAATATATTTTCAGTTGATAAACAAAACAAACTAACTCCTAGCAACATGGATCTTATTTGCTAAATAAGGAACCAACAATGCGCCTACTATAAACATATTTTTTTGACAAAATATAGTAACATTATAGATATTATATCCATGATTCGACCAAAAGGAAAGTCATGTTCGTACTAGATAAGGCACTTCTAAAATGTTTTTGGGTTGCTCTTGGTGGCCTTCTTTTGTAGCAAAGTATGCATTTATCATTAATCGTGTCTGCTAGACTTACCTTGCAACATTAAGGATGTAGTGATCTTATTGACCTTCTTTTTTTGCAAAAATATATTTGGTAATTTAAATGTCATCATGATTTTAGTGTAGTCAAGATTATATTTGAGACAAGTCGAAATATCTTTTAGGTATATTACAAGACAGGAGGTGCGAATTGTACACTTGGATAATTTAAGAGAACTCGGGAACACGGGGGGGTCTGACGTCAGTGCCCCTGGTGCGGCTCCAAGGGGAATCTCCCCCGGTGGGGTCTAGGGACAACGTCTCTAGAGGGGTCCGATGAGCAAAGCCTCTGACCCAAAAAATAATTCATTTAAGAAAATGGGTTAGACAGAAATTTTCAAACTAAAACCCATGGTTTGCGTCTAATAAAAAAGGCACCATTTTCCCTACATAATCTTCGTCTTCTATGTACATATAGAATATCAGAACGTTGCAGAACAGTTAGAACATATATTTTTTTTCTCTTTGGAAAACACACTAATTGCAAGGTATTTGTGTGTTTCGGAATTGGAACATACTTGTATTCTAATTCTATTTATTTTTGGATTATCTTAAATCGAATTTCATGATACCCCATGCAAAAGGCTCGAAATCACATATTTTGTAAATTGTTTCTTATACACTATCCTTAAAATTATCCAAACATTCTATTGACAGTGGAAACCCAAAATCTAACAAAAAAAATGATGGATTCATCATTAATGTTGCTTGTTGGCTTTCTTTAGCAGCATTAAAGATTTTTATTTTTGTCTTTCTCGTTCAAAAATAACTTGAAGGAATTATATTAATTATATTGATAAAAGATGATTAGGTGGGACCTTAAGGGCTTTGCAAGCCTTTTAATAGTTGAAAGAAGTATGCTCACATGGCTTTCAAATAATGTACAATAGACATTTGCAAGATGAAAAAAACCACCGGTGTGGAAGCTCTAAGTTTCAGGTTCGCATTCATCTTAAACACACATAAAATAATGGTGAGAGGGGGGAGACAGATCATCGGCAATCAATATTGACATACGTATGTGTTGCTTTATGGAAATACAATTAAAACGAAATCATACATAATGAATATCTTGCATGTTAGAAAACTTTATAGAACTTATGTCCAATATCTTGCATAAAAGATAAAACTAGTTATTTGGGAAAAAAAAGAATCATGCCTACTTTCTGAATGTGTTTTTAAGGTCTTTTAGCATTAATATTTAAATTGGTGATTAAATTTTTATAAATTGACAAGAGAACGATTATAATCTAGTCATGAAAATGATAATAAAAACCTGCAAAGTGATAAGTTTGAATATAAAGGATAAAAATGTAATACAAAAATATTAAATATGCAAATCAATAATCCATCCATATATCAGGTTAAATAGCGGCTTTCCTGTTTCAGAATAATATTAATTCCACTTACCTTAAAAAGAGTCCTAGGTTTCTGAATCCGTGAATGGTGGAAGACCCCACTCACTTGGGTTAAAATCCAACAGTGACGTCACCACTTTATCTGCAGTTTCATGGAATGACGTATCCAATCTTGGATCCGGAACCATAACTACAGACCTGCATCCCATTTTAACAAAATATATATTCACCATTATTATTATTATATTATTTACTTTTTCTTTAAAAAAATATATATACAAAATTGGACTGCTACTTACATTCCAGCATTCTTAGCTGCAAGAACTCCCGATGGTGCATCTTCAAAAACAAGAATCTTGGAAGGATCCACACATCCACCCTATAATACAAAAAAGAAAAAAAAAAAAAAAAAAGTAAAATAAATGAAAGTAAGTTGCTATTTCCTTCATTTTTCCATAATATATTATAAATAGATAAATTGACCTCAAATCTTCTGGAAGCTGCAAGAAATATATCAGGTGATGGTTTGCCTTGTTTGACTTCCGGATCGTCTCCCATCACAATATGATGCATTAATGAAAATATCTCACCATGTCTTTGTGTTTTCAATTCAAAGTGCCTTTTATGAGAACTGAAAATATCATATCAAAATAACAAAAAAATTCAAGTAGAATTGTTTTTTTGTATTTTGAAGATGATAGATATAAAGGTTTGTTAAGTTTTACCCTGTTGCAACGCAAATTGGGACACCTGTCGAATGTAGATGTTTGACCAAACGACTTGCACCTACAATTAGTCATTCGAATTTTCAAAAACTAGAAAATAATATATAATAAATAAATAAATAAAGGATTTTTTTGTTAGTGATGACCTGGCATGAGTTCACTTGTGGGAAACATGGATTGTAGCATTGCTTCACGCTCTACCAGGAAGTCTTCGGCGGAAAGGGAATCACTGGTTCCGGTCTCTTCAACAAACACACGGGCAGCCTCAATTGCTTTCTTCCCCATCATCTTTGCTTTTAGAGACCAATCAAAAGTTTTGTTGAATCTTGAAAGTATAATCTCTTGAACTTCTGTATAGAATTTCTCAGTATCTGTCACACAAGATTTTGTGTTATGTTATTCTTTCTGGTATCTAAAATATTGAATTGGTATGGATAATAACAAAATGCATTATGATTGAGGTCATAAAAATGTAGCCATAGAACCTATGCTCTATAATGAGGATGAAATTAAATATGTCTCATTGTGTATACTGAACTAACTGAACTTCATAACCGGCTAAGATAAGAATAAATGTTGTGATTACAAAGTCTATATGAATTTGAATTTGTGAAGACATTAATTTCTTTGAGACATTGACCTCATGTCAAAGCATAGGTAATGTTCTCAACACTGTCCCTCTCCAAAAATTTAGGGTTCTGAACTTCTGATTGCAATTGAAAGATATATTTACAGAAATCCTCTTTACATTTCCCCTAGTTCATCAAATCACTAAAAACGAACAAGCCAATAAGAAACCGATCCCATTGATCGAATTATCAAATGAAATCGCAAGTGTGTTCAAATCCACAACCATTTGTACTCCAAACTACGAAAAACGTCTTACATTATGCGTGCTTACGATTAATAGATCTGTATATATGAGACTTCAGAAAGCGTTCAATGATTATTTGGCTTACTGTCAGTGATAAAGTATCCAAAATAAGTTTAGTTGAATGGAAAACATGGATGTAACAGCACTAACCGAGCAAAAGTCCATCCATGTCGAAGATGACGTGAGTGATTGACTTCTTTTCTGAATCGCTGGCAGTCGTGTTCGCCATTTTTGCCGATACGGATGCTCTTCGTAATTTGAACGGGAGCTGACTTCTGCTGCTAACAGATCTTACACTTGATCTTGGCGTTTGAGTGGCGCAAAGAATCAAACCGAATATTTGGTTAGGTTTTAAAATAATGTGTCTCATGTTTTAAAAGAATTCAAGTAGAATTAGGTGCAACGTATAAGCTATTTTTGTTAACGAAAAAAAGTTTTTTAGAATAAAGAGATTTTCACAACGAAGTAAAAGTTAAATCGCATCAAAATCTAAGGTGTTCTTTTATCTAGGGGTGGTAAATCGGGTCATCGTGTCGTGTTTTTGTCTAACACGACACAACACGACAAGGTTTATGTAACACGAACATGACACGACATGATGTCGTGTTTTTTTTAACTAACACGAAAAAGAACCGATTAAAAAACAACAAGCACGACATGACACGACAAATATAACATAACAAAAAAATTAGTTTATTTAATTAATATTTAATCATACATAACACATAGATGCTAAATCGTGTCAATTTCGTGTCGAATTTTAAACACGAACACGACATGTGACATCCTCATTTTCACGGCCAGAAAAGACCGATTTTGTTTATGCTTTGTTTGAAAATCAGAGTAACATTTTAAATAAAAGTGTTGCGGAAATTGTCCCAAAACAAAATATGATAAAGATTTATCAAAAGCATTCTCATAGAAATGTATTTCATTAAAAAGACTCGGGATGTCATGTTCGATACAGATCATAAGCATAAACAATACA